GTTTCAAGCCACTGGGTCCAGGACTTGAATTGCAGTCAGCTACATGGAGTCCAGTGATATCACCATTATGCCATCTGCTGGTCCCTATGGCTCACTTTTTAAAAAGTATTTCATTGGGATAGATCGCAGAGAAAAGAACTGAGCCATGTACATAATTGGTTTCCATGGCTTTTTAAATTTCTTGCATGAGTGACAAAGAGAGAGGGCAGAAAGAAATACAGAGCGTGAGGCAAGCATCCCCAATAGGGTTCTCACCCCATGACCTAACCCAGCCTCGCCCAGAGCAGTCACAGGCACATGCACACAGCTGCCTGTTCAGGTAGGCCATGAGTCTCAGATCCCAAACTTTCCCACGTGAGTCCAGCCCTCCAGGGAGCTGTGCCACATTCTGGTCCCTGTATGGCTTTCAATATGTTCTCCTTAATTAGTGATGTCCATATGGTTGCCCCTAGTAACATGGAAGTGTGTGGGACCATGCCAGCTTATGCCAAGGGGATCCACTCTCACCTGGCATAGTTCAAATTTTGCTAAATTTAAGACTAATCTTGAGAAAAGATGAGAGGAGACATTTATATTGGCTTATCAGTTTCAAAAAATGCACCATTAGGGCCAGCAGATGGTGTAGCAGTTACATCACTGGACTCCCACACGGCTGACTGCGGCTTTAGGCCCAGACCTGGTGTGCGTGCGTGCCCAAGAACCCAGGAGGAGAACAGAGGAGAAGAGATTACAGCATGGTCATCCCCCCTGGGGGGTGATTTCTCACTTTTCTTCTCACTGTCTGTGTCTCTCTGGTGAGCACGTGCTCCCTAAGGCAAAAACCTCTTTTAGAATGTAATAAAAATGCTCCATTTGGCAATATTATAAGTCCAGTTTACAGATCACTTAACTAGATAGTCTTGAAATTACTTTTTTTTTAAGAATTATTTTATTTAACTTTATTTATTTATTTTAATTTGACCAAAGAGGGAAGGAGTGGGGAGGGGAGTGAGAAAGCAAGCCACCAGGTCTGGGACTTGAACTATGGTCAGCCATGTGGGAGTCCAGTGTCCTTAACCAACACAGCACCTGTCAGTCCCAAGAAATTACTTATTTTTGGCATACATTTCTAGAAGTTTGAAGAACTCAGACCAAATAAGACATAATATTACTATAACATGTAGCAGATGATAAAAGATATACTTTGGGGGACCAGCAGGTGGCATGATGGTTCAGGTGCTGGACTCCCACATGGCTGACCACAGTTCAAGTTGCAGACCCGATGACTTACTTTCTCACTTTCCCTCTCTCTCTGTGTGTCTCTCTATGGTCAGATTAAAAAATAATAAGAATAAATAAAAATATTTTTAAAAAAGATATATTTTGACTACTTTAAATGCTCATAACAAGCTACCACACTGCCTTACTTTTACCACAGCATCTCCACTGCTAGACACTATTATCTATTATTTTGTCTGTTTTTAGTTGTTTTCTTTATTTTTTTAAAGAATTATTCTATGTAACTTTATTCATTTCTTTCTTTATTTTTAAAATTTAAGCAGAGAGGGAACCAGCAGTTAGCGTAATGGCTATGTCGCTGGACTCCCACGTAGTCGACCGCGGTTCGTGTCCCGGACCCGGTGGCTTAGAACTCACGCCGGGCGCATGTGCGTGCGTGCCCAAGATCCCGAGAGGAGAATGGAGGAGAAGGGATTGCGGCATGACCATCCCCCCTGGGGGGTGATTTCTCGCTTTCTGTCTCTATGTCTCTCTCTGTCTGTCTGGCGAGCGCACGCACCCTATAGCGAAAATCTCTCCAAAAAAAAAAAAAAATTTAAGCAGAGAGAGACAGAGCAGGGGGCAGGGTGGGAGTGGGGGTGGCAGTGAGAAAGCAAGCCGCCAGGTCCAGGACTCGAGCTACCGTCAGCCATGTGGGAGACCCGAACCCCTAAC